TATTTCTTTGGAAAGCATCTGCCTGGACAAGCTGTGCATAGAACAGAGTATTTGAGTTGGGGTTCTGAAGGATGTATAAGAGTTGATAGGAAAGACGAGTACTCAAAATGGGAAAGGAAATTTCAAGGAGAGAAAACAGTGAGGGAAATTACCATAAAAATCGCCACCCGGTTTTACTGAGCAACTCCTCCAGTCCCTCACTGAGTTAGGTGACCTCCGCAGGTCACATCATGCTTGTTCTCCAGGTGAGGGAACGTGCGCTTGGACAGGTCAAGGGGCTTCCCTGAGGGCGCACGGAACTTTGCTGTGCTCTGTTGCCTGGGATGGTAGGGAAGGGCATCGAAAGAGGTCATTTAGGGTGACCCTGAGAAAGGGTTGCTTAGTGTGCTACCCTAGGGACCTTGCTTGCCTCACCCTTTTCGAGGCCCTGGGGCCCTGGAGGAAAGGCGGCTGGAGGGTGGCTGGAGCAGGTGGCCCATGAAGCCCGGGTGAGGAAGGAGCTTGTCTGATACCTGTAGGAGCCTGAATCTTGATCCTGCGGGCACTGGGAGCCACGGAGGGCTTTAGGCAAAAGTGGAACACCATCAGTGGGGCGCCTGGGTGGCTCAGTCGGTTGGGCGTCCGACTTCGGCTCAGGTCATGATCTCACAGCTCGTGAGTTCGAGCCCCGCGTCAGGCTCGCTGCTGTCAGCCCACTTCAGATCCTCTGTCCCCGTCCTCTCTCTCTCTCTCTCTCTGCCTCCCCAACCTGTGCTCTCTCTCTCAAAAATAAATAAACATTAAACAAAGGAGAGGAACACCATCCGCTGGGTTTGAGGCTGGAGAGGAAAGCCAGCAGTGACCTCTGGTTTCACCTTCCCATTCCTTGGATGCACAGGTGCTTAGAGCTGGGATCCTCAGGGGGCCCCTTCATCTCACTTTGGGGCATTGGGGGCGTGCTTCTCGCCCCTCCCCACCGTGTGACCGTGGCGATGCTGTAGGGCACCCAGACAGGAGGATGTGGTTGTCAGGGAACCAGCCAGGACCATGAGAGCCTTAATTATGCAAAATCATTCAAAAGAAACAGGAGATTTCTGGGGATTCAGAGCCCTCCAACCTGAACATAATTAGGGCGTGGGGTGGGGGGGGAGAGGTGGGATTCATCCCGTCTCAGTGACAGGGGCTCTGGGATGCGTTTCTTTAAACTCGTGGCAGCAATAATTACTGTGAAATGTCCTTTGTGACTCCATCAATTAGAAGGGAGATCC